CTCCACTTTGGACTTTGGTAGCCTGAATATTTTGTAAGTTGATGATATGACTGGGCCTTGGGATGGAATAGCCATCATAATCATGAGGTGTCTGATTAAGATTTCGTTTATAAGCAGGGTCTCGAGACTATCAGTAAATCAGTTATATGAAATGCATTCACACCATTTCGTTTAAAATGGGGAAATGGTAGTTTAATTTTCTCACAAAGATGTGAATAGCGCTGATGCTTTCACTGAATTTTACATGGTTCATGTCCCGCTGTAAGTGTTGATAGGACCTATGCGAGGTCGAAAGTTCAGGCGACCCTGGATGAGAGCACCTTTTGAGAAAGAAAGGCTATATAAAATTCATTGGAATTGTCAGCTCTTCTCATAACATTGTCAGAAAATTCAACTACCAGTCCTTCATCCACTTAAACGATATAAGGCAAATACATCTCATAAGTTTGCTCAAGTTGGCAAAGTAAGGCCTCATGACGTATGTGATATTGCTGTGGGAAACCTTTCGTGTCTTCGTGCTAGGTGAACATGCTCTCCTGCTCTGATTATGTCAATCATATGACAGACATTGATGATTCATCTGAGCCACGGGACAGTGCGTTGAGGAGTTATTCGAATAAATCTACATTCCTCCCTCGAATTCCGGTGTGGCATAGTTAAGAGTCCCTTCCGCTCGTGTCTTCAAACGAAATGAATGTTTACTAATGTTGGAGTACTTTTCATTTCATTTAAAGAGGCGAGTGGGTGGGATTTGTAAATTGGTCTGACCGGAGGTCGAAGGGGTATTGACCTGTAGCAGTAGATCTTGAATTGCAACTGTATCCCCCCCAGGTCACATTTGGCGGTCATCTACTCTATCTTAGATATGAACAAAAACGGGGTTTCGAAGACTCCCTTGGTGATATATTGTGAAATGACTTTCCATTTCGAAGGAAAAGTTGATTGGAAGGAAATCGTGATGTGATCTCACCGGAAACCGAAGAAGGATTACCGCGTAGGGAAGACTGTTTGTTGGATTGTGCGAAAAAGTCCTCGGCTCATTGGTCCCATTGTCTATCCCGCTGTAGATAGGAAACTCCCCTCATCTTGTTACTGACAATTGATATGTAATTGTCTACCAATCCTAATGGGCAATTGTTTTGAAACAATATATGCCTCAATCTACCGACATCCTGGTCCCTGTGTTGTTCACTTTTGATAGACTCAAACTCCTTATTATCACTGATTTCATAACTCCTATTTTGACTCTCTATGGATGGTTGGAGAAGAAATTAATAGGGAAACTCACGTGTGTGGAATTTTTCTATGCTTATCTGTCTAAGTATTACCATCTTTGCTCACTAATATATTCAAAAAAGGCAATTTATTTTCCTTTTCTAACTCCATGGTAAATTGAGTATTGGCATTTATTCTATTTATTATATCAACGAATTCACCCAAATTATTTTTGACGTGTTGTCAAACATCAAAGTAATCGTCCATATGATGAATTTATAACTCGGGAACCAGAAGTACCTCTTGAAATACATTAACTTTTAATTGGGCCATGTGGTTATTATCTAAAATACAGACTAAACAAGATTCCATAGCCAAGCCAAATGTTTGCACATGAAACTTATCTATGAGGGTATAATATCTATTATTCATTGAGAAATTGACTAATCTAATTATTAGATATTTGATGTGAAAACTTTCATTCTGTAAGAAAGTACATGATGAAGAGATTCGTAGATCAATTTCACCAGAAGACATCGGCTGATTCGCATTGTACTGCGGGCGTTTGGCCTTAGTACGACATTCAGGTGGATGCAATCCACGAGACATCCTCCATCATTTCGGGCGAAGACGGTCTGAGCTTTCGTTCGTGATATGATTGGCATCG